ACTCCATTGTTCTTTAGGGAAGAGCTCCCTTGCTCTCTCTCTCTTGCTCCTGGAATTCTGACTTTTGAAACAAAGAGCTTCTTTGTGAACTGATTGCCGGTTGCCAACCCTCTGTTATTGTGGATCTGTATCTCTGAGCAATCCTGGACTATCTACCTGCACAAGATGGGATTTCTCTTCAAAATCCCTTGGTGCCAACCTGTACTGTTATGCAATGGACACTCTTGGACTATCTGATGCTACACTTAACTCGGTAACTATGATTATTATTAATGTGCAGAAAGGGCAAATAGCCATAGGCTGTTATTATTTTTGTATCCTCCATTAGTCTCTTGTTATGCTTTGCACTGAATAAAGATCATTCATATCTGTAATTGTCTCTGATGCGGTAATTGAACTCCAGGGCTAAATCTTGTGTCTAAGTGCTGACCACAGAGAGCTACCATTGGGAGAGTAATTGTGTGCACCTCTGAGTTAGAGTTGCTGATGTGTTCAGTCCCAGATGCCAGCTAAGAGATGAAATCTCTGCTCTTAGGCTGGGTGGGGACCCCTTTGAAGAGATTCTGGTGGCAAACTGTTGTGAATCCTAGAGAGAGAGTACAGTCTGTCTTGTGGATTTTGTTTCATGTGCTGAAATACAGGGTTCCCTCTCACCCCTGAACTGGACTGAGTGGGTTTAATCCTGTACAGGCCCTTCCTCAAGGCTGTTCTGTATTCCATACCAACTTAATAACAAGGTAAGAGACTCAAAGAGAGCAAGTCTAGACTCAGACCCGGTAGATCTCTGCCAGACTTTTCCTGTGCAGTCTGGGGCTGACTGTAGAACAACCCAAAGCTTCGGGTCTGCCAGCACTGATGGCTATAGAGGTATTGTCACGGGCTGGAGTGCAGGCAGGGCAAGAGAGGGATAGTCCGGGTTCAGTCCAAGGGTGAAAGCCGAGAGAGCAGGAAACCAAAACACCAAGTCCAAAGCACAAACCGTAAGCATAGTCATTAAGCCAGAGTCCAGGGGGTCAGGAGCTAAAACACCAGAGTCCAGAGCACGAACCAAGAGCGTTGTTGTCAGAGCCAGAGTTCAGGAGCCAAGAGTTCAAAGCGGGAATCAGGAATCAGGAACACAGGCGAGGTAGGTGCAGAGCGTCGTCAAGCTGACTAGTTGCTAGCACAAGGGATTGACCGAGAGTGAGGAGCTAAATATCCCTCTGAGCTGTTGTCAATTACCGGCGTGTGTCCCAGCTCCTCTTAGAACTCAGGGTTGAGAGACCGCCTGCTGTGCGGGCACGCCTCTCACCAGTGGGATGCCAAATCCCACCGGCACTAAACTTGCAACCGGG